TATTATAAATTCACTGGTTTAAAATATGTTTTTTCTACACAGTAATAACCAATATTTCAAAAATGGAAGCTAAAAACTTCAAATTTAATTTTGTAATTAAATTAAAAATATTAATTCCATTTCATCTTCAAGCAAATATTGGAGTAACTTATTTTTTAAATTTACTGAGTTTTAAACGCACACAAAAATTCATAATTCACTGTTTCCAAGGATACAGAGAAATCCAATCATTCAGACAAGGGGTGGTAGTGTGTTTATTTTTATTAACTTTTGTTGTATCAGTTATTTGTTACGTTCGAAAAAGGGGTTATGTTTAGGTAGGGTAGGGATGTATTTTTCAACGAATTCTGACATCCGTTAAATTCATGTCGTCTGGATTTTCTTTTTTAAATTTTATTGTTAACGGCAATAATTCTTTCGGAATTTTTTCCTACTTGTATATTAAAGATTTTTTGGGGGATGTTTAGGTTAGAATACGTTTTATTTAACGACAATTTTAAAATACTTTTACTCCTAATTATTAATAGACCATATTTCTTTTTAAAACAAGTAAATGTAATGTAATTACTTACATTATATAAAATTATTTTTTCATATCAAATATAAGTATGTATATTACCAGGTCGCATTTTTTTAATTTTATTTTTAAATATTATTTAAGGAAAATTTTTGACAATGACGGCAAAAAATAAGCTATTTCACTTCTCTGATTGAATAAATTTTATTTTTATAAACTTAATAGCTTATCATGTATATTCATTTTCTTTTTATGTATATATATATATATATATATATATATATATATATATATATATATATATATATATTTATCTTTTTATTTATATATATATATATATATATATATATAAGAAAATTATATAAAGATTATAATTTATAAATAAATAATATATAATTTTAAATATTAATAAAATAAAATATTAATATATTAATGTAAATTAATTAATATAAAATATTTTTAAAAAATAAAACATTAATAATAAAATTTATCTAATATATAAAGTATATAAGCTAAGCATAATATGTAAAGAAAGAATTGCTAGTATTAACCTCTTCAGCAGCAGGGGCAATTTCTGGCAAAACCATCCACTCTGAGGGCCTACATATGTACTAGTGCACATAAATGTTCCATAGAATTTAGTTGTTAAATACAAGTTTATCTTCATTAAATTAGTTTTACTTCAAAATAATGCATATACATTTACTATTTCTATAATAGAATTCTTAAACTTATTCATTAGTTGTTATATACCCTACCTATGAACACTAATGGGTATGTCCCAATCTTCATAAATACATTGGACATTATTGTATGTGGGAATAATATACTGTCTACGTAGTCCACTACTAACAATGGTTTACCTTCTTCATGCCGCTGGCGAGTAATGTATTTTGTTGATGTTATAAAGGTTACCATTTCATTTCCAACCTTCCTTCTGGCTATTCCTCATTCAGTAACACTTTCTAGGTTACAACAGATAGATAGATAGATAGATAGATAGATAGATAGATAGATAGATAGATAGATAGATAGATAGATAGATAGTGTTATAAACCATACCTATGAACACTAATGGGTATGTCCCAAACCTCATAAATACGTTGGACATTATTGTAAGTAGGAATAATATACTGTCCAAATAGTCCACCACTAGCAGTGGTTTACCTACTTCATGCCGCTGGCGAGTATTGTATTTTGTTGATGTAATAATGTTATGGTCCAATATCCTCGCACCACAGTTATGGTCCAAGGTTAGAACCAAGGAAGAACAACACAAACACAAGAGTAGAAATAACAAAGATATATTACAACAGAAATATAGTACAAGAAGTTGAAGGTGTTAGTAATGACTGTCTGTCTGGTTTAGAGTGAACTAATATTGTCTCGACTCGTTACTACTGACTGACTGCTGATGCGGCATTCACCCTGGGCGGATTGAGCCGGCTTCTTCCTGTTATAAGAAGAAGATTCTTGGGATAAATTACAGAAGTAGGGTACCCAGGATTACTCGGATAACGTTCTTGCTTGCCGCGGGGTTCCCACAGACGCAGAGACAGGAACGACCAGAAGCCGCCGGTTACCGATGCAGACGCTCCTTGGATTTTCACCAGAGCCCTTGTTAGCCGGCGTGTGTGTCAGACCTGTCCGCCTTGGGTGGCCCTACCAGGAACGAAGTTCCGGGCGGCATAGCTCTGACACTACCGTTTACACCCCCCCACCGACTTTGCTTACGGTCAAATCACGCTGAAACACCGGTTCTCGTTCGATCACCGAAGTTAAGCATCGTAGAGCCAGGTCAGTACTTAGATGGGGGACCGCTTGGGAACACCTGGTACTGTAAGCCCCCAAAGTCCAACCCTTACCTCACAGTCGGTGGGGGAGGGGTGTAAAAGTCTTGACTCGTTACACCATTCATTCATCATACCTCTTGAGAGGCAGAGTATTTATAGTGTCAGGAAGAGTCCATTATCGTTATAGGTAAGTTCCCATAACAAATAAAGATTACCAATTAATTTCCATCCTCCATTTTGGTTATTCCTCATTCAGTACCCCTTTCTAGGTTACAACTTTAGTAAAACATAAGCTTTTTTTTTCATCGAATTGTTATGGAAGTCCACCAAGACAAATTAAGACTAAAAGTTGTCCATGGGTAAAAAATGGTTCAGAATGAGTTCAACATTGTGCACGATATCCATATGAGAGTCTAGATTTTACGAAGCTAATTAAGTACATAACTATTTGGCTGCACTGATTCCATAGTAACAGGTGTTTTAGTTGAAATGTCATATTGGCAATAAATTTGTCAAGTAAGAAAAATTAAACGCTAAAATAAAACTTTAAATTTAAACTCAGTTCAGAGTCATAAACATGAAATTTTGCTCCATTGAAAGCCACTGAAGTGTATGTAAATTCGTTTTTGTGAGAGCAAAATCTGAATGTGTATCGGATAAGCGAAAGACATATTTGGAAAAGCTAACTAAGTACTAAGAAACAAGAAAATGTTGAATACAAAACCCGAGAGCCACTCAAGGTAGAGGGTTATTGTTAAAATGGTTTGGATAAATGATGCATGTGATGTGATATGAATGAAAGAGAAACTGGTAGGAAGTGAAGATTATGAGGATAAGGAGGATAGATAATGGTTGACCTTTGACATGAAGAACTCAAGATTGTAGCATAGATGGTTACTGTTAAAATGGTTATGTTGAATGAGGTATGTGATATGAATGCAATAAGAGTGGGTAGGAAGGGAAGATTATGAGGATAGGGAGGATAGATAACAATTGTCCCTTGACATGAAGGGGTTAAGATTGTAGTGTAGTGTAGAGGGTTACTGTCAAAATGGTAGTGATGAATGAGGTGTGTCATATGAAGGAAAGAAGAGGCGGTAAGAAGTGAAAAATATGAGGATAAGGAGAATAGATAACAATTGGCTCTTGACATGAAGACGTTAAGATTGTAGTTATCTATAGAAGCATCCACATGGGAGTCTGTCCCACAAAAGTAGCAGTACTTGGGAAAGATGTCTGAGTGAAATTTTTTCCTTATATTGGAATATGGGGGATATGAGAATGATTTGACCCTGTGGAAGTAGCATGATTGACACTGGCTTTAAAGGTTTGAATTGCTGGAACCATACAATGAAGTTCATCTGAAATTTTGCTATGGAAAAAGCTATAATGTAGTTATAGGCTTAGGATGTTACAGCTATAGTAAAGTGACAAAGTCTTCCTCCATAAGACTATAAATGATTTTGAACTTTATCATGGCTGGATGTCCTAATTGTCTTGCATTCTGCATCGAGAAAATAGTAAGAGGTGTTTTAGTTGAAATGTTATACTGACAACAAATTCGTCAAGTAAAATTGATTTAATTTTTACAGCTCATCAACTTTTTGCTGGTTATATAAAATCAGAAAATATTTTTGGATTATAAGAATTTTTTTGAGATAATAATGATTTACTGATACAAGTTCTACTATTTAACCATTAGCTGGGGGAGAAGAGGTGGATTCATACCATTCCCAAGTGAATTTAACAAACCTGACTGGAACTGAAACCTGGCTCTCCAATTTCCAATTCTGAGCCATTATCCTTTACACCACTCGCACATCCAAGCTTACAGCAACTGGTATTCCCAAGTAGTTACTCATCTAGGTACTGACCAGGTATGTTGCTTAACTACAGTGAAATGGTCTTTCAACATGACATGGCATTAAGCTACCTGTCAAGTAAGAAAAATTAAACTCCAAAGTAAAACTTCAGTTTGAAGTTATAAACTTGGCTTCAGTGAGTCATTAAAATGAATTTAAAATCATTTTTTATTGTTTTTGTGAACATCAAAAGACAGAAAGCTGTGGAGAGCCACGATCGTCTACATCCTGAATGAATATGAAACATGGTAGAAAATAGGTGTTTCCATGCAGGAAACATTTGGCATTAATTTACAGAACAATTAGTGTTACTGAGGTGGTTCATTTACATATGAAGTCACAAAAACTATAAAAAGCTACAGCTATTACCCATGAGGCAATTGAGTGCCTACTACTTCTCATGAGTCAGTAACACTACACTATAGTTACTAACAACTGAAATTTACAAAAAATTTTTGCTTAAAACATTTTTCTGAAAAATAGGTCTCTCAAGGTCAGTAAATATTATCGTTCTTTTTAGTACTGATCGAAGTTTCCTTCCTAACCTTTTGTTTAAGGTCATGTGGAAAGTCAACATTGATTTGATTATATCATTATTTTCTCTTCTAGTTATGTGCGCTATCCATTTCAGATGTTTCTGCTGCTGGAATTCTTTGAGTGATGTGATTTTTTTATTTGCTAAAGTTTATTGGGATTTGGTAGCACCACATTTAATGAAGGGTTGTCTTTTTGGGGCGACATGAGAAATGTAAGTGATAAACTGTTAGATACAAGTACATAAACATTTCCAGCAACAATAAAAGAAAATTCTCGAACAAACACTCTTACCTGCTTGTCTCTCACCGGCAGTAGACAAGGGTAACCATTTTCCAGGCAGGAGCGAACAGAATCTAGAGTTAATTTCGATGTCAACTGCGGATAATTATTATGAAATTTCACGTGTCCTAAAATACAAATTCACATCATTGAAGAATTTGTGATTTACAGAGAGAATTTTTTTGTCGTCTATTTGCTTCTGCTCTCATTTTTAAAATTCAAACTGTTGCCCAACATAAAGAATGTATTTTAATGTTGCAAATAATCCATTGCTATTATGGTAATATCAGGTTTTGTCATTTTTACTTATCTATATGTCAGTTGTCTCATGAGCCAGGTTTTCTTCATATTTGGAAATTAAGGAAAACTGAATATTCCTTTGGCCTTTGAAGTTAGTTAACAGGAAACCATAGAGAAATATTTTTTTTACAGTTTTAACTACAAAGTAAACAATATTTTGTCAAAATACAATAATCATTAAATTGAGTAAACAAAATTTTGTAAAGTAAACAATATTATTTTGTAAAGTAAATAATGTTTTGTAAACAATATATTTTGTAAACAATTTTATGAGCAATATTTTTCAAAGTAAACAATATTTTGTCAAAATACAATAATTATTAAATTGAGTAAACAAGATTTTGTAAACAATATTATTTTGTAAACAATGTTTTGTAAACAATATATTTTTGTAAACAATTTTATGAGAAATATTTTGCAAAGTAAACAATATTTTGTCACAATACAATAATCATTAAATTGAGTAAACAGGACTTTGTAAAGTAAAAATATTATTTTGAAAAGTAAACAATTTTTTGTAAACAATATATTTTGTAAACAATTTTATGAACAATATTTTGCAAAGTAAACAATATTTTGTCACAATACAATAATCATTAAATTGATTGGGGTAAAGTGAGACACAAAGTAACATGGGATAAAAAGTAACACATGAATTTAGAAGTGAAATTATTATTTCACACTGCAATGGACTTTTGTGTCCTTTTCTCTAAAGTGTTGCTACCCTTTTGTCACCTCATTCGCTTGAATATAAATGCAAAACAAAATTGAAACAATCTAAAACCTGCTTGCGAGTATGTAAAAGTATTTTGTAATTGACTTTTTCAGTCACATAGCAATTAAAACCAGAATAAAAATGACAAATAAAATATTTAAATTACTGGAATACAATTGTTTCTTTTAATGGAAATCTATATTCAAACAACAAACAACTATATATATATATATATATATATATATATATATATATATATATATATATATGTGTGTGTGTGTGTGTGTTTGTGTTACTGCTGTGTATATATTTTTATATATATATGTGTGTGTGTGTATGTATGTATGTATATTTATATATTATTACTATTTTCATTATAAAAGATTATAATAAACACATATTGTAATCGCTTCACACAAACTTTCATTAAAGAAGTACAATGATAGTATTGAAACATGAAAGCTTTTGTGTAGCGATTTCAAAATGTTTTCAATATAATATCTTATAATCAAAATATAATAATAATATATTGCTCTACTTTGTATTGAGCACTTTTTGAAAAGTAAATACTATGAACAGTGGAATTTTACTCCATCTGTTCATTCTCTCATTTGGATATATATATATATATATATATATATATATATATTTAAAAATTCTGTATTTTGCTGCAGTCCCTCATTTATACAAGTTTCATTAAAGATGACTGACAAGGTATTGCATTTAAGCTTTTTATTTAATTTTTCTAGTATTCATATAAATTTTTTTTTTATCTAGATATACAGTGTGTAAAAGTTGTCCGAAGGTTTTGTATGTCCAGCTTTTTTTTTAGCCATTGTCAAGTTTGTTTTATTTTTAATTCTAACTGAATGTATCGATCATTTTATGTGTGTCTAGAGTTATAGGAATGTTTCTTTTTATATTCAAAGCATGGTCAGCACATTGTGACCATGTTCATAATTGATTCAGTGTTGTCTTTTACCTTTTATTATTGAGGTTTCCATTGTTTTTATTTTGTTTTTACATGTAGATGAGGCAATTACAGTATGTTGTGGATAGAGTTTTGTAAAAAATACAACTATAACAGCTTCATCAACATTAAGCTTTTTATATAGAAAAATTCATAGGAAAAACATTTTCTGTAAAAATTACTGGCAATGTACAAATTCTACAAATAAAAATCATGTTCACTGCCATAATATAGTAAAAATAATTGGTGAGTGCATTTTCATAGAAAAATCATTTCCAATGCATTTTCATAATAAAAATCATTTCCAATGCATTTTCATAGTAAAAATCATTTCCAATGCATTTTCATATTAAAAATCATTTCCAATGCATTTTCATAGTAAAAATCCTTGGCCAATGCATTTTCATAGTAAAAATCATTTCCAATTCATTTTCATAGTAAAAATCATTTCCAATGCATTTTCATAGTAAAAATCCTTGGCCAATGCATTTTCATAGTAAAAATCATTTCCAATTCATTTTCATAGTAAAAATCATTTCCAATGTATTTTCATAGTCAAAATTATTGGCCAATGCATTTTCATAGTAAAAATCATTTCCAATTCATTTTCATAGTAAAAATCATTTCCAATGTATTTTCATAGTAAAAATTATTGGCCAATGCATTTTCATAGTAAAAATTATTGGCCAATGCATTTTCATAGTAAAAATCATTGGCCAATGCATTTTCATAGTAAAAATCATTTCCAATGCATTTTCATAGTAAAAATCATTGGCCAATGCATTTTCATAGTAAAAATTATTTCCAATGCATTTTCATAGTAAAAATCATTTCCAATTCATTTTCATAGTAAAAATCATTTCCAATGCATTTTCATAGTAAAAATTATTGGCCAATGCATTTTCATAGTAAAAATTATTGGCCAATGCATTTTCATAGTAAAAATCATTGCCCAATGCATTTTTATAGTAAAAATCATTTTCAATGCATTTTCATAGTAAAAATCATTGGCCAATGCATTTTCATAGTAAAAATCATTTCAATGCATTTTCATAGTAAAAATCATTTCAATTCATTTTCATAGTAAAATCATTTCCAATGTATTTTCATAGTAAAAATTATTGGCCAATGCATTTTCATAGTAAAAATTATTGGCCAATACATTTTCATAGTAAAAATCATTGGCCAATGCATTTTCATAGTAAAAATCATTTCCAATGCATTTTCATAGTAAAAATCATTGGCCAATGCATTTTCATAGTAAAAATTATTTCCAATGCATTTTCATAGTAAAAATCATTTCCAATTCATTTTCATAGTAAAAATCATTTCCAATGTATTTTCATAGTAAAAATTATTGGCCAATGCATTTTCATAGTAAAAATCATTGGCCAATGCATTTTCATAGTAAAAATCATTTCCAATGCATTTTCATGGTAAAAATCATTGGCCAATGCATTTTCATAGTAAAAATTATTTCCAATGCATTTTCATAGTAAAAATCATTTCCAATTCATTTTCATAGTAAAAATCATTTCCAATGCATTTTCATACTAAAAATTATTGGCCAATGCATTTTCATAGTAAAAATCATTGGCCAATGCATTTTCATATTAAAAATCATTTCCAATGCATTTTCATAGTAAAAATCCTTGGCCAATGCATTTTCATAATAAAAATCATTTCCAATGCATTTTCATAGTAAAAATCATTTCCAATGCATTTTCATAGTAAAAATTATTGGCCAATGCATTTTCATAGTAAAAATCCTTTCTAATGCATTTTCATAGTAAAAATCATTTCCAATGCATTTTCATAGTAAAAATCATTTCCAATGCATTTTGATACTAAAAATCATTGGCCAATTCATTTTCATAGTAAAAATCATTTCCAATGCATTTTCATAGTAAAAATCATTTCCAATGCATTTTCATAATAAAAATCATTGGCCAATGCATTTTCATAGTAAAAATCATTGGCCAATGCATTTTCATAGTAAAAATCATTTCCAATGCATTTTCATAGTAAAAATCATTTCCAATGCATTTTCATAATAAAAATCATTGGCCAATGCATTTTCATAATAAAAATCATTGGCCAATGCATTTTCATAGTAAAAATCATTTCCAATGCATTTTCATAGTAAAAATCATTTCCAATGCCTTTTCATCGTAAAAATCATTGGCCAATGCATTTTCATAATAAAAATCATTGGCCAATGCATTTTCATAATAAAAATCATTGGCCAATGTATTTTCATAGTAAAAATCATTTCCAATGCCTTTTCACAGTAAAAATCATTGGCCAATGCATTTTCATAGTAAAAATCATTGGCCAATGCATTTTCATAGTAAAAATCATTAGCCAATTCATTTTCATAGTAAAAATCATTGGCCAATGCATTTTCATAGTAAAAATCATTAGCCAATTCATTTTCATAGTAAAAATCATTAGCCAATTCATTTTCATAGTAAAAATCATTAGCCAATTCATTTTCATAGTAAAAATCATTGGCCAATGCATTTTCATAGTAAAAAATCATTGGCCAATGCATTTTCATAGTAAAAATCATTAGCCAATTCATTTTCATAGTAAAAATCATTAGCCAATTCATTTTCATAGTAAAAATCATTAGCCAATTCATTTTCATAGTAAAAATCATTGGCCAATGTATTTTCATAGTAAAAATCATTGGCCAATGCATTTTCATAGTAAAAATCATTAGCCAATTCATTTTCATAGTAAAAATCATTAGCCAATTCATTTTTTCATAGTAAAAATCATTAGCCAATTCATTTTCATAGTAAAATCATTAGCCAATTCATTTTCATAGTAAAATCATTGGCCAATGCATTTTCATAGTAAAAATCATTAGCCAATTCATTTTCATAGTAAAAATCATTAGCCAATTCATTTTCATAGTAAAAAATCATTAGCCAATTCATTTTCATAGTAAAAATCATTGGCCAATGTATTTTCATAGTAAAAATCATTGGCCAATGCATTTTCATAGTAAAAATCATTAGCCAATTCATTTTCATAGTAAAAATCATTAGCCAATTCATTTTCATAGTAAAAATCATTAGCCAATTCATTTTCATAGTAAAATCATTGGCCAATGTATTTTCATAGTAAAAAATCATTGGCCAATGCATTTTCATAGTAAAAAATCATTTCAATTCATTTTCATAGTAAAAATCATTAGCCAATTCATTTTCATAGTAAAAATCATTAGCCAATTCATTTTCATAGTAAAAATCATTGGCCAATGTATTTTCATAGTAAAAATCATTGGCCAATGCATTTTCATAGTAAAAATCATTTCCAATTCATTTTCATAGTAAAAATCATTAGCCAATTCATTTTCATAGTAAAAATCATTAGCCAATTCATTTTCATAGTAAAAATCATTGGCCAATGTATTTTCATAGTAAAAATCATTGGCCAATGCATTTTCATAGTAAAAATCATTTCCAATTCATTTTCATAGTAAAAATCATTAGCCAATTCATTTTCATAGTAAAAATCATTGGCAATGTATTTTCATAGTAAAAATCATTGGCCAATGCATTTTCATAGTAAAAATCATTAGCCAATTCATTTTCATAGTAAAAATCATTAGCCAATTCATTTTCATAGTAAAAATCATTGGCCAATGTATTTTCATAGTAAAAATCATTGGCCAATGCATTTTCATAGTAAAAATCATTAGCCAATTCATTTTCATAGTAAAAATCATTAGCCAATTCATTTTCATAGTAAAAATCATTAGCCAATTCATTTTCATAGTAAAAATCATTGGCCAATGTATTTTCATAGTAAAAAATCATTGGCCAATGCATTTTCATAGTAAAAATCATTAGCCAATTCATTTTCATAGTAAAATCATTAGCCAATTCATTTTCATAGTAAAAATCATTGGCCAATGTATTTTCATAGTAAAAAAATCATTGGCCAATGCATTTTTCATAGTAAAAATCATTAGCCAATTCATTTTCATAGTAAAAATCATTAGCCAATTCATTTTCATAGTAAAAATCATTAGCCAATTCATTTTCATAGTAAAAATCATTGGCCAATGTATTTTCATAGTAAAAATCATTGGCCAATGCATTTTCATAGTAAAAATCATTAGCCAATTCATTTTCATAGTAAAAATCATTAGCCAATTCATTTTCATAGTAAAAATCATTGGCCAATGCATTTTCATAGTAAAAATCATTTCCAATGCATTTTCATAGTAAAAATCATTAGCCAATTCATTTTCATAGTAAAAATCATTGGCCAATGTATTTTCATAGTAAAAATCATTGGCCAATGCATTTTCATAGTAAAAATCATTAGCCAATGCATTTTCATAGTAAAAATCATTTCCAATTCATTTTCATAGTAAAAATCATTGGCCAATGCATTTTCATAGTAAAAATCATTTCCAATGCATTTTCATAGTAAAAATCATTTCCAATGCATTTTCATAGTAAAAATTATTGACCAATGCATTTTCATAGTAAAAATCATTAGCCAATTCATTTTCATAGCTAAAATTATTTCCACTGCATTTTCACAGTAAAAATCATTGGCCAATTGATTTTCATAGTAAAAATCAATGGCATTTTTATAATTTTAAATATTTTATTTCAATAAATAACCCATCTAAGTAAATTGTTTTTCAAACTTTTCAATAAACATAATAATCATTTCCATAAATGATTTTTCTCATGTCTTTTAATTCTTTTGTCATTTTGCCTATTTTTAAAAAAAATTCTTAAAACAGACATAAAATCACCTTAATGAGTTATCTTACCTTTCATAAGTGTATATGTCTTCTTCACATCAAATTTTCGTGCCCGTAGAAACCTCATCAAATAATCATCATCTTTCTTGTTGAACATTTCAAATATTTCCTTGCCTTCATCAGAATTTTTGTTTTCCAAAAGAAGCTTACGCAACTCAGACAAACATGTCACCCGCTTTTCATCTGTTTCATATAACTCTATATGGGCCTGTTCAATTAATTCTCCTGTCAGGACACCTTTAGAGAACATTTGGTCATAAGTGGAAGCCATGGCAAACTTCTTCAAGCAAAGCTACAAAAAAAAGACAATGAATATATAAGATATGACAATAAGTAGAGTTTTTACACACATCCAAACATAGATGCATACATGCATACCTTCATCGAACTCAGACAAGATCTTACAGTCCACAACCCCATGTTTCTATTAACTCCATAAGCATTCTTTTTTTTTTTTGCAGTAAGGCTCAACCTGTACAAGGTACAGGGGCCACTCGAGGTAGTAGGTTACGTTAGGAGGCAATTTGTATAGGAGGGGAAAATAACGGTTAACTCTAAACTTGAATATATTAAGATTGTAGTGATCAGGAAACATTCTATTGGGAGTCAGTTCCACAGAGCAGTAGTTTGCAGAAAGAAGCTGTTTGAGTGAAACTTACTTTTTACCAATGGAATAGGGGGGAAATGTGGGTGGTTTGATACTATGTAAGTGGCATGGCGTCTCCTTGCCATAAAGGTTTGAACTGGCAGGACCAGAGAATGTTGTTCACCTGAACACTTTCAATGCAAGTAGCGATAGAGCAACGAGAGGCTTGCCACATCTTGCCTGTGAGAGAGAGGGTGAAGAGCAGACATGGCTATATATTATGTGCCTCATCAGGGAGACATATGGTTTTGAATACAGAGTAGTCTTTCTCCTAGACTGGTTAACAACCAAGGCTAGAGAGCCAGTGGGAGTGAAGATGGATTCATATTTTTCCCAAGAATATATTTCCAAAAGTGAATGTAATAAACTCGATCGTAATTTGAACACAATCAATCTATCTCAGTCTGTTCATATCTCTCTATCTAACTCATTTTGTTCATATCTATCTATCTATCTATCTATCTATCTATCTATCTATCTATCTATCTATCTGTCTGTTCATATCTATCTATCTATCTAGCTAGCTAGCTAGCTATCTGTTCATATCTATCTATCTATCTATCTATCTATCTATCTATCTATCTATCTATCTATCTCATTCTCTTCATATCTATCTATCTATCATTTTGTTCATATCTATGTTCTCCTCAACAATCTTTGTACCTATCTATCTTTCTCTCTATATATATATCCATCTATCTTTCATTTTGTTCATATCCAACTATCTATATTTTCCTCACATCTATCTATCTATCTATCTATCTATCTATCTACCTATATGTCGATTCAGATCTATCTATTGATCTCAGTTAATTCAGATCTATCAATGTCAGTCTCTTCATATCTATCTATCTATCTATCTATCTATCTATCTCAGTCTGTTTATATATATCTATCTATCTTTCTATATATCTATCTCAGTCACTTCATATCTATCTATCTATCTATCTATCTATCTATCTATCTATCTATCTATCTATCTATCTATCCCAGTGTTCATATCAATCTATATCTATTTATCTATATAAGTCGATTCAGATCTATCTATCGATCTCAGTTAATTCAGATCTATCTATCAATTTCAGTCTCTTCATCTCTATCTATCTATTTATCTATCTATCTATCTCAGTCTGTTCATATCTATCGATCTGTCTATGTATCTATCTCAGTCACTTCATATCTATCTATCTCAGCTTATTCAGATCTATCTATCAATCTCAGTCTATTCAGGTCTGTCTATCTATCTATCTATCTATCTATCTATCTATCTATCTATCTATCTATCTATCTCAGTCTGTTCATATCTATCTATTGAAATATATATATATATATATATATATATATATATATATATATATAGGCCACTTGTATTTGAGGACACCCGTCTACTAGAGTGGCTAGCCAAATCCTATTGCAGATGCTCACTCAGGCATTTTGTGTTTGCTCAACACTCACAGAGCCCACCTGTCACTGGATCTAACTAATGCCTTTATCCACTGTGCCATGTGTCCTTGAAGATAAAGGCATTAGATCCAGTGACAGGACGCAAAGAGTGTGAGTTCAATACTTGGTTAAGGCAGTGGAAAACTTGAAGAGAGTAATTAACAAGAGATAACTTATAACTGACATCCATTAGACATGGCACGTGGAGCTAGAACAGTCTACCCCAGTGAGCGAAATTAAAGATTCAGGTCAACATTCCAAACACCTGAAGAAGGCCGGAGCGTACAACATCCAAAACGTGATAAATATGGCAACAAAGAGCTCAGATGATAATCCGAGCAATGTAAATAATGTAATGTAAGTGTATTATGATTTACTGTTAATAATGCTATATAGGAATAAAGTGTTGCTGCCGAAACTTGGGTTTGAACACAGATCACCAGAAATGAAAACATCCTCTATCAAGTGTTCCAAGAAATAGGACTCAAGATAAACCTTTCCAAAACAGAAACTATGATCTGGAATTGGAATGAAAGCAATGAAGGCACCTAACTTGAATCCATCATAAAGTCACAGGAGATGGAATTAGTAAGTATTAAACACTTCAGATACCCTGGTGTATGAATCAACTATAACAAATTAAGTATTTGGTTTGGTTTGTTTTACAGCATATCAACCTGTTATATAGGAATATAGTGTCACTGCCGACATTTGGGTTTGAACACAGATTGCCAGAGAGCAAATACAATTGACCTCATCTTGAAATAATTAGATCGTGTGACAAGTAAAGGAAATATATATATATGGGAATTAGCAGCATCTGACCGAGTATTATTCGAAGACATTACTATTATTGTATCTGTGATTTACAAAGTCTCTCCTAAAAACAAGCATTTCGAAAAATAATTACTGTTTAATTTTTAATATTACTAATTTAATTAAATAAATAAATGATACACAACTAAAATAAAATAAAAACATAATTATAAATAGATAAAAATCTTTTACATATGCTAATCCCAATTATTTTACTTGCTAAATAATGTTTTGCAAAATATAATATTTTTTACAAATTTATTTAAAAAAAAAGTATAGTTATTTTAAAAAAAACAATAGGCTATATCTTTTGCCTGATGACTTGAGTAATCAATAAAATTTGAGTCACACAACAAACATAGGTATATGCGTATTTATTAATATATATTTCTTAGCTCTGTCTAATCACATCGAGCACTATTATGTCTACACCTCTTGGCTAAATTTGATGATTATTTATTTGCTTACCAGCGTATGCATGCCAGCACACGTGTATGCAGTTGCTAAAATCTAGTTATCTAATTTACCTAACCTCATATCTACATATATATATATATATATATATATATATATATATATATATATATAGAGAGAGAGAGAGAGAGAGAGACTGACAGAAAGACAGAGAGAGAGAGAGAGAGAGATATGAATAAAGACAAAAAGGTAAAATTTTCTTTTGTCATCTGATGGACTTTATCACAGTAAATATAAGGATCATGTTTTGCAACATATATATATATATATATATATATATATATATATATATACATATATATATATATATATATATATATATACATATATATGTATACATATATATATGTACATATGTGTATATATATGTATATATGTGTATATATATATATATACATATATATATATACATACATATATACATATATATATACATATATACATATATATACATATATATATATTTGTATATTTAGGCAGCAATCCTTCCTTTATGCATGTTTCATTAAAAACGACAGACAAGATACTACAGTTGAGCTTTTTATTTAATTTTATTTAATACATATATATATATATATATATATACACATATATCATAATTAATTTTTTCTTTATGTTTTTAAAAGAATCCACATTATAACCAAAAACATTTGCAGTTTCTCTCTCCTTTTTTTAATATATATATATATATATATATATATATATATATATATATATATATATATATATATATATATATATATATATATATATATATATATATATATATATATATATATATATATATATATATATATACATATATATATATATATATATATATATATATATATATATATATATATATATTAAATTAATAGGAAAGAACAATGAGATTTACAATTCAGAGTTCTTAGCATTTATTTTTATTTTTTTAAAACGGTGCTTGATACAAACAGTAGAGCATAATTTTAGAATTGTTTTTTTTAAAATATATTACTATCATGACACAGAAAATCACATGTTTCAAAACTGAAATTTCAATTCTAATTTAATCACAAAAATTAAACTGAAAATACGACATTCAAATACATTTTTATGATTAAATTAGAATTGAAGTTTCAGTTTTGAAACATGGGATTTTCTGTGTCGTGATGGTAATATATTTGTAAAAAAACAATTATCACACATATATATATATATATATATATTTATATATAAGTATGTATTCATAATAATTTACAGGAAATAAGTTAATCTAAAATAGAGAGGAAACTGCAATGGGTGTTGCAAATCATAATCATTTCAGATTATCTTTCTGAGAAAAAATTAAAATTATTATTGCATGCAAACTAATTTGATTGATCTGCTTGTATTATACAAGGAAATCTTTTTCCTTCTTTCTTTTCATATAGACAAAAAGACACACAGACAGATATGAACAGATTGAGATAGATGTCAACAGACTGTGATAGATAGATAGATAGATAGATAGATAGATAGATAGATAGATATGAAAAACTGAGATAGATAGATAGATAGATAGATATGAAAACTGAGATAGATAGATAGATAGATAGATAGATAGATAGATAGATAGATAGAAAAAATGAGAAAGATAGATAGATAGATAGATAGATAGATAGATAGATAGATAGATGAATATGAGAAAACTGAGATAGATAGATAGATAGATAGATAGATAGATAGATAGATAGATAGATAAATATGAGATAGATAGATAGATAGATAGATAGATAGATAGATAGATAGATAGATAGATAGATAGATAGATAGATATGAGAAAACTGAGATAGATAGATATGAACAGACTGAGATAGATAGATCTGAAAAAAACTGAGATAGATAGATATGAAAACATAGATAGATAGATCGATAGATAGGCATATTAAGAAATACACAGCCAAATAATAAAAAAAAATATATTTTTTTTTTTCAATGCACTAGATTCTTTAGTGAATCTTTATTACTGAGATTGAACATTATACAAAGAAATCTTCAGATCAAAATTCAGCTAATAACAACATTGCTAGCTACAGACATTGACCCACCACATGTACATTTGAAATTTAAAAAAAGACTTTAAATATACACAACATAAAAGCATATAAAAATAGTTTAAAAATAGAACTTACCTTTTAAAATTTAAATCAACACGTCACTTTGAATAAAAAGAAATTTATCCAGTGGAAGTTTCAGCGCAAAACAAATTGATTTAATTTTATTTTTTATGTTTCCTTTATGACTCTATAATTTGATTTCTAATTATTTTGAAATGTAAAAGCTTTAATTCATTTTGCTTATATTAAACAAGAAAGACACGCTCTACCTTTTCACGGTTACCTGTCTAAGCAATACATACACTTGTATATTTCGTAGGTAATTGCAAGTAGGTAATCAGTAGCTTGATATTACCCTCAACACTGACATACTTTTTACAATCACAAAAGGATATCAAAAAGTGACTGTCACCCTCAGCTTTTTAGAGTCACACAAAACTCCAGCCACCACCTTTTTCCTTTTATGCAAATAGACAATGAACAAGTGAAAAACAAACTGCATGTTAGTAATAGATTATTCATCCATGTCAGAAATTGATACTTTAACTCTTGTAAGTTTTTAACTATCTATTTCTTTTTATTTATAGTCTTACATAGTAACTCTACAGGGATCAATTTATTACTTGATAACAACAGAAAATTGATCCCCCACTTTATGTCTTATATTAATACAAGTTTACTCATGTTATATAAAAATGATTTTCTTGAGATCTATTAGGTTTTCAAATGTGGGTCTTTAAATAGATTTTTACAATTGTTATATTAATATGTACTAATTCAACTGAGGGATCAATTTATTACTTGATAACAACGGAAAATTGATCCCCCACTTTATGTCATATATTAATACAAGTTTACCCATGATACATAAAAAATGATTTTGTCAAGTTCTAACTATTAGGTTTTCAAATGTGGGTCTTTAAATATATTTTTTCAATTCTTATAATAATATATATTAATTCTATTGAGGGATCAATTTATTACTTTATAACAATAGAAAACTTGTCCCCCACTTTATGTCCGCTAGAATCTGAAGGTATATTTTAAGTCTTTATTATTAGAAAGTTTTTCTATGCATCTCTTCCAGTATATTTTTCCAATTATATTAATATATAGTAATTCTACTGGGGGATCAGTTTATTACTTAATAACAATAGAAAACAGGTCCCTCACTTTATGTCCGTTAGAATCTGATATTAGTACAAGTTTACATATGCCTTCAAACATGAAAACATATCTTAAGACCTTACTATTATAGAAAGTTTTTCTATGTGTCTCTTCCAGTATCTTTTCCCAGTTATATTAATATGTAGTAATTTTAATGGGGGATCAATTTATTACTTGAAAACAATAGAAAACTAATCCCTCACTTTATGTCCATTAGAATCTGATATTAATAATATCATAGCTAAGCCATAAAAAACAAAGTATATCTTAAAGCTGGGAATACCAGATGCTGTAAGCTTGGATGTGCAGGTGGTGTAATGGATAACAGTTTGCAATTGAAAATAGGAGAGCCAAG